AGAATTTAATTTTAAACTGAAAAGACAATGGACTTTGTGAGGGACAACTCATAATTCCAGAATCTGGACTGTGTTCTGCTCAGAGTTAAAACAAGCCATCATTCACAAGGTGGGGGGGGGTGGGGAGGGGAAGGGTGAGGGGTGAAAAGGCCATCACTCCTTCTAGGAAAAAAAGACAGAAAGAAGGAAAGACAGAAAAAGACCAACAGAAAGACAAATAGGCACACAGAAAGACAAAGAACAAACAGTATATTTTCAACATCATCACCAAGTGGAAAGGTGAGGAAGTCAGAAAACAGCAATCAATTTCTAAATGGCCATGTCGTAAAGCTGCAGCCAGTGTTGTCTTCCAAATTCAGCAATTCAGTCCAAGAGAGGCATACCAGCAACAGGCTGTTAAAGGGCTACAATGATGACTTTCACCTTTCAGCATTAATTTTGCCTGTCTTAACTGTTGTCTTCTAAGAAGAAAGACACGGCACTGAAATCACCAACTCACACATGGAATATACAGGTTTCAGTGTACTCTGCAAAAGAGTAATCACAGAATATACTTCCAGCATTGTACATCCAGCTTCTACACCCAGCAATGTACTTCCAGAACTGGACATCAATTTTTTCCCTTCAAACCCAAAGCAACACAATTTTCAGAAATGTTGAGTGCAAGTCATCTGCTGCCTGCCTATACAGCTGCTTATTTTTACAGATTATGAAAAACATCTGGAGTTCCTTTCAGAATGAAACATGCCATGTATATATTGCAATAGTACCCAAGGATTTACGTATGTTAAAACACAGAAATACACTGCAGTTGCTTAAAAATAATACCATTTATATTTCAAAAGAAGTTACTCCTATCCAGAAGTAACTATTCAGAATCAAACTACAGGCAACACAAGCAGAAAGGGGTAATAAATCTATTCTTTTTTCTAGGAACTCTCTGCTAACAACCATGTCTATCTGCAATAGGTCTGTCTCATTCATCCTCATGCCCTCCCCAGTGTTTTTACCAGGTTTAAGATCTGATCATCCAGAGGTACATATAGTATGCAGGTTGAAAATTATAATTCCTAAAAGTCATTTCTTAGAGCTAACACCCAGATATATTTTTTTTATTCCATATTTATCTTTTAATTTTCTTCGTACAGTAAGAGCAGAGGGAGCCATTCATGATCTGGACTTTCAGTGGACTGGAGAGTAGATGAGGACATCCACATTGGTAATTGTCCTCTTTACCCACCCTGAAATTACTTCTTTGCACTTAGTAGTGAAAAATACGGACGTTCCCCTTTTTTAAGAGATTCTGACTCAGAACCCGTGAAGGAAGTTGCAAGGGATAAGGACTGATATGAGAAGAAAAATATGCCCCTTAAGAAGGCCAGGTGGTAAAAAGGCACTACATCCACTCCACTCTTCCACCCTTTCTTCTATAAACTAGGTCCATGGAATGTGGAAAGAGGGACAGGCCACTTGGGAAGAGTACAGAAACGTAGTGAGAGCATGCAGGGATGCGACGAGGAAGGCCAAGGCTCACCTGGAATTGAAGCTGGCAAGGGATGTCAAAAACAACAAGAAGGGCTTCTTCAACTACATCAGCAGCAAAAGGAAGGCTAGGGACAATGTGGGGCCGATGCTGAATGAGGCGGGTGTCCTGGTGACGGAGGATACAGAGAAGGCAGAGCTAATGAATGCCTTCTTTGCTTCAGTCTTCAGTGCTAAGACTGGCCCTCAGGAATCCCAGGCCCCGGAGGTAAGAGAAG